ACTAATGGGATCAAATTCACTTATTGGCCACCTTATGGCAAAATCTTCATGTCCTGTTTTTGTATCTGCGAGAAGACCTATTGCTCCTTGAGCAATTTTTAGCAGCTGCTGGTCAACAAAAATGAACTTCGGTTCTGAATGTCTCAGCAGGACCATATCATAGCTGCATCATGGCGCGTGTTTAATGGCCAAAGAACAGCTCCGACCATTGGCACTGCTGTGAGTGGCAAATGGGCGGGTCGGGTCAGATATAGTTAGGATCGAAAACGGATAATGAAAAAACAGATAAATTATCCGACCTGACCCATATTTAATACGGATAAAAAACGGGTTAACCGGCATATAATATGGGTATCCATAATATCCATGACTTCTTGAATATGATCACTTTTGGGAGTATTCTTAATCTTCCAATCTTGAGGAACCTCCAATTTGAGGCCTTACAAATGTAAAAATTAAACTCATTGGTTATCCATTAGTTTAACGATTTTCTAAAGAGTTAATACCCTCAAACCCGCCTAAACTATACGATTTTTGTCAGTTTCCTACCTAAACTATCGAGTGTCCCCGGAAACCCCCTGAACTATATCCCCCTTCGTAATAAACACCCCCCCCCCGGTCGCTTATGTGGCATATTGTGTGAAATCAGTTACGCAAGAGCGCGTGAACGGTGAAAATCAACATGAAAAGGGGCCCACCTGACAGCTTGAATAACGGCTAATTAGCCCATTTATTTAAAAAACTTATATTTTATCCCTTTTTCTTTATATTACACCATCTTCTCATTATTTCACCTTTCTTCGCCATTTCTTCACCCTTTTTATCTCTTTCTTCATCTTAATCCATTTGAAATTCTCTCTCTTTTTATCGACAAGCAGGAAGATGTAACACCTCAAAAAAAAATACCCAATTTTTTCTACTACGAACTAAATTGCAGCACCTACCTATCATAATTTCGCAACAAAATTAATAGGGAATAAAGAATAAAACTTGTATTGAAGCAATCTTCTTTAATAATCTTCAGATTCTTCAAAGAATCGGAGGAAGATATTTCACCAGCAAAACCCTAAGCCCTAATTTTGTTCTGATTCACCAGCAAAACCTTCACCTTTATTCCAACTTCGAAATAGCAGCGACTAGTTTTGAAGAGGAATCGATGGTAGCAGTGACTAGTTTTGAAGAGAAATCGGAGGAAGATGATCGGAGAAGAGATGTTGAAGGTCCGATGAGAGTTTTCTCTAATGGGAGTAAAAGGACATTTTTTTGACTGAGAGTAAATGACCCTCTTTACTGAAGGGAACGAGTAAAAACCCACCCAATTTTTTTGACTGAGAGTAATTAACTTATTTTAGGCTAATTAAGTCGATTTTATAATTAATTAGATTAATTATCCACGTGGCATGCCACATGGAATGTTTTATAATTTATTAAGAGCGTGTATCATACGCACTAGGGCTAATGCGACAGAGGGGTTTTATTACGAAGGGGGATATAGTTCAGGGGGTTTCCAGGGACACTCGATAGTTTAGGTAGGAAACTGATAAAAATCGTATAGTTTAGGCGGGTTTGAGGGTATTAACTCTTTTCTAAATAGATAATATGGTTCTTATCCATATTTGATCCGTTTTTAAAAAATTCATTATCCGACCCATTTGTAGTACTCTCTCCATTCCAATTTATGTGAACCTGTTTGACTGGGCACGGAGTTTAAGAAAAAAATGAAAACTTTTGGAATTTGTGGTCCTAAATAAGTTCAAAAGAGGCCCAGAGTATTTGTGTGGTCATAAAAGCTTCTCGTTAAGGGTAGAATTGTAAGTTTAAGCTAAATTGATACCAAATTAGAAAGGGGTCATTTTTGAAACGGACTAAAAAGGAAATAGGTTCACATAAACTAGAACAGAGGGAGTAGATAATATGGGTAGTTAACTGTTTTATTTTAACTATTTTGCCGTCATTAGGCACTGCAAAGTGCCGACTCTAGCACAACAGGTGCCTTAGGAGCCAGTATTGTGACCTATTAAACAAATGTTAACCTTACAAGCGTGAGAAATTGAAGATGAGATTGTTTTGTTACAGAAAAGTTGTTTAGGTATTTGTTCATATCAAGTTCTTTGGAGTGTTTTAACAAGGAATGTGGTAAAACGGAGATGTGAACGGTTGGCTTTGACAAGTATAAGAAGGGGGTTTTGACACAGTTACTCACAAAAATAAAACTATTTACCCTTGTCTACCCATTTGTTTTCCTACCCATAAACTAATTATATTTCCTACCCATAGTAGGTTTTGTGGAGATTTTTTCTTTATTCTCCAATTCTTTTTTATTTCTATGCTTCTTTTCTTTTCTTTTTTCTTTTTTTTTCTTTTCTCCTTTTTTTTTCTCGTTTTATTCTTATTTTTTCCTTTTTTCCTTTTCTAATTTCACTTAACTTCTGTTTATTTATATTCTTTTTCTCTTCATAATCTAATTTCATTTATTGTTTTCACTATTTTTTATTATTCTTTTTTTTATATTATTACTAAAGAAAAATCAAATTGTGCACCAATTAAATGTAGTTAATACAACCAAAAAATTATTAACTAACATATGATACCAGTATAGTATATAGCTATACCAACATGGTATACAATTGTGCGCAAAGAGTTAAAAAAAAGTTAATTCAATTATTAAACTAAAATAATATCAGTTGTAAAAAAAAATTAAAAAATTTTAATAGGATCTAATTGTAAGAGTATACCGTTACATCATATAGCATACTATATTTATTTTTTTTCGCTTTTTCAATTTACCCCTCACACTAGGTAAAAGCTTAAAACAAATTAAAAGGGAAAAGACAAGTGAATTTACGGGTAATAAGTATACTATTATAGTATATTGTATGCTATTACAGCATATTGTTACAGTATCTTGAATATTATTACAGTATACCATAACAATATATTGTATACTATAATAGTATACTGTTGTAGTATAACTATATACTCCTATAGTATATTAGTATACTGTAGCGGTATACTGTTTTGTAAACTATAATAGTATAGTGTTGCAGTATAGCTATATACTTCTACAGCATATTGTATACCGTAGCGGTATATTGTAGTTGTGTTCTTCTTCGATTTTCAACTGAAAATTTCGATCTCAATCACCTCAAATCAGCTCCAAATGCTATCAAATTTCAGTATGAACTTCCAGAAGGTACTATAAGCAATATTTAACAGCACCCACTTTGAATCAAACAAGAAATCTTCAAAAAAATAAAATTGAGCTTCCAAGCCCAACAATGGTGGATATTCAAATACACATAAAAATTTAGATCTGGGAATCTTACTCGAAGATACTATAAGCAATATTTTATTGCACCACATTGAATAAAATAATAAATCTTCAAGAAGAGAAGTGTTTGTGCAAACTAACTATAATACTTATTAATGGCTTCATCTTCTTCATATTCATTATCATCCTACTCACCATGTGCAGCATGTAAATTCCTACGTCGAAAATGCCAGCCAGAATGCGTGTTTGCTCCTTACTTCCCACCAGATCAACCCCAGAAATTTGCAAATGTTCACAAAATATTTGGAGCCAGCAATGTGACAAAGATGCTCAATGAATTGCAGCCTCACCAAAGGGAAGACGCCGTCAACTCTCTCGCTTATGAAGATGACATGCGCCTCCGCAATTAAAGGGTAAATAGGCGGGTAAATAGTTTGGGGGCCATGGGTAGGAGTAGTAAATAGTTTGGGCATGGGTATTAAAGGGTAAATAGTTTGGAATTAATGGGTATAAAGTGAGATTTTTTCTATAAGAAGAGGTAGAGGCTACCCAAGAAGTATTGGGGAGAGGTGATCAGGCAGGACATGGCGAGGCTTCAGATTTCCGAGGACATGGCCCTTGATAGAAAAGTGTGGAAGTCTAGCATTAGGGTTGTAGGATAAGGGGTAGCGGAGCTCTTTGCTACTCCGTATCGGGTGAGAGGCTAGTCTGACAGGGTTGTGTCCTAGAGTGCGTATTGTTGTGTCCACACTTCTCTTTCACTTTTCATAGTACATGGGCCTTTCTTACATACTACTATTATTGTTTTTCATCTATTTTCTGGTACTTTTGATTCTGTTATTATTTCTATGCTTTCTGCTGTTGGTACTGCTATATTGTCTTTTTCGTCTGCTTGAGCCGAGGGTCTATCGGAAACAGCCTCTCTATCCCTTGGGGTAGGGGTAAAGTCTGCGTATACTCTACCCTCCCCAGACCCCACTTGAGGGATTTTATTGGGTTGTTTTTGTTGTTGTTGTTATGGTAAAAAGTAACAGAATCAGATTTGTTCAAAAGGATATGAATATATTTTAGGATAAATATGATTAGAATAAAGTGAAGAATTGAACAGATGTTACAGGATTTATTCTTAAGCACTTACAAAGTTGAATGGACTGCTTGTAAATTGTAGGTTTATTATCATATAAGCTAACCAAGATTTGATCAGGCGCAGATGAGGAAACTAAGAGAGCCATTAAAGGGAAATAAGATATCAAAATTGAAAAAGGATGAAGAAAAAAGATTCAAAACTCATAAAAGAAGAAGAAGATCTTTGGGAGCCGAAGGTGTGCCGTAGCAAGGTAGCAGTCAATGAAGTGAGATGATAATAATGAGAAACCAAGGTTCAAATCCTAGCAAAGCTAAAGCTAAAAACGCTAGGTACTTCTTTTTATTTGCCTAAGTCTTAGTGGAAAAAGTTACCTGACACGTGTATTAGTGGAGGCAGCAAACATATATATATATATATATATATATATATATATATATATATATATATATGTGTGAACCTGTTTTATATATATATATATAAAAGAGGGTACACTTTTATATGTGAAAATTATTTTTGATAATTAGTGGCAGTAAGACTTGAATCTTGAACCTCAGCTTGTTCCAATAACGTATTAAAATTGTGTGACCACTTCATCTAAAAATTTAAATTATTAAAGATGGTATATTTTTATTTACTTAATTATATCTTAAACAAAACCAACCGTTCATTGGCGGGACAACCTCCCAATTTATGTTTCTCCAATAGTTCCAAGAATGTTATGTGCATGTTTTATGCCTTGAGACAGTTGCATGTCCCAAAGTTTGCAGGACAAAACCATAGATAAAGTTAGAGATGCAATGAACAGTTATATTGAACCTAATGGCACAAAACAATGATACACAGACTTTCAGCAAATGACCTTCAAAGAGGAAAACCAAGTGCTGCTGCTTCATTTCATTCAGAAAAGACTTCCTAAGGCTTTTGCTTTCTCCCTTAGGATAAATTTCTGTATCTTGCCAGTCGACGTTTTTGGAATATCTTCAAATATGACTGTCCGAGGTGCCATATAATGAGGCAAATTATCCCGACAAAAGTTGATAATTTCTTGATCACCAACGCTAAATCCCTCCTTCAACTTCACAAATGCGCAAGGTGTCTGCCCCCAATGATTATCTGGCCGTGCTACTACTGCTGCTTCAAGAACTGCTGGATGACTGTACAAAACACGTTCCACCTCAACCGTACTTATGTTTTCTCCACCAGAAATTATAATGTCTTTCAACCGGTCCTTAACTTCTATATACCCATCGCGATGTTTTACACCAAGATCACCACTGTGAAACCATCCGCCTCTAAAAGCTTCCTCTGTTGCTTTCGTATCTTTTAGATATCCACTCATTACAGTATTCCCTCTAAACATAATTTCTCCTATTGTCTTACCATCAGCTGGTACCTTTTCCATGGTCATGGAATCTCTTACATCAACTTCCTCTAAACAAAGATGATGTACTCCTTGTCTTGCTTTTAGTACAAATTTTTCATCCGGAGGCAAAGAATCCCACTCGGGCTTCCACATACAATACGTACCTGGACCGTATGTCTCTGTTAGTCCATATAAGTGATGTACTCCGAATCCGAGCTCCTCCATTTTGGAAATAATTTGTGGAGGTGGTGGTGAACCACCTGTCATTATTTTAACCTTGTGAGGAAGTGGCTGTCGATCACACGGTGGCGAATTCACAATCTTGTTCAAGACAGTTGGTGCCCCACCCATATGTGTGACTTTGTGCAATGAAATATTTTCAAATATGTCTTTTGGAGAGACATTTCTAAGACAAACATTTGTGCCACCTAATGCTGCCAATCCCCAAACAAGACACCAACCATTGCAGTGAAACGTTGGAACGGTCCAGAGATAAGTAGGGAATGAACTCATCTCATGAAGCAAAAATGTGGCGATAGTATTGAGATATGCACCTCTATGACTGTAAACAACTCCTTTGGGTCGTGACGTTGTTCCAGAAGTATAGTTAACACTAATAGGGTCAAATTCAGTTATCGGCCACCTTATAGCAAAATGGTTTTCCCCACTTTTGAGGAGACTCTCATATTCGTGAGTGCTAGAGTTATCGAAAGGAAGGGGATCGTCAGATTCAGGGATTACAACAAGAAGAGGTGGTTTCAGTTTACTGTCAGCAATAAGGTCTAGTGCACCTTGAGCAATTTTGAGCAACTGCTGATCCACAAATATGACCTTTGCTTCCGAATGCATCAGTAATGTCGATATCATAGCTGAATCATGGCGTGTATTTAATGTACAAAGAACTGCTCCAGCCATTGGTACTGCAAAATGTAGCTCTTGCATTGCTGGTACATTAGGGGCCAGTGTTGCAACCTACAGAAAGAAATTTAAATCTTTTTTAATGTGGAAGTAAATGACATAAGTTCTTGCGACATCGTTAAACTGCTAAATAGTTATCTTAAGGAAGTGGATTGACAAGTGAAGAAGAAAAAAATAAAGAGCGGGATCCTTAACTTTGACCATCTCAGAAGGCAAAGTTGAACTAAAATGCAAATCATACAACATAATAGTTCAAGCATCATATCCGTAATTAGTCATTGTCATCAGAAAGACACGTAAAGCTTCTCTCTCAGTCTAGTGCTTCTTAGATCCATAAGAAGAACGGGGAAGCCTATCTATTCGCTTGGCGGGACGACAATAGAACTCCGTACCTGAATTTCATTACCTTATTCCTTAAACCCTAAAACGGAGACATTGGTACAATGGAAGACTCGAGAGACCTCGAGCGTGATATAGGCTACCATCAGAGAGACTTTAGCCACGTCTTAACCTATGGTTCAACCTCTTAGTACTCGTTATTACAGCTATATGGAGATTTTCGGGTCAAAAACCTGTTCAACATCATATGTAGACAATTCATTAGGCATTTGCCCAAGCTCCCAGAGGTATATTGGATTTTTCATGGTGCCAAATCTTACAACATTTCAATTCAAGTTCCATATCCATAATTAGTCATCGTCATTAGAAAGAAACATGAAGCTTCTCTTTCAATGCACTGCTTCTTAAGTTCAAAAGAAGAATGAAGAAGACTACTTTATTATATGTAGACATACCAGTAAAATAAACAGAGGGTCCATGTCAACAGTACCTAATTTATTAATCAAGTCACCCTACGGCAAACATGATTTACCAGCTAAGAACATTGAAGTTTAACTAATTATAATCACTATCCTTAACATCCCATATTAAAGCCCATTCATTGCTAGTATGCATAAACCATAATATTAGAGCCTCACACTCAAAATCTCTAACTTTGAGCAGCTGTAGGTCTTGCTTATTTTCGGTCTTAATAGTTAATGTGAAACTATATAAAGACAGGCTCCTACCTATTGGGGTAGAATAATTGTAATTAATGGGTAATATTGATCTTACAACCCAAAAATTTTAGTTCCGATTAGTGTGATAAGAATGTACTACCTTGCTGATTCACACGGGTTTCCACGTGCCCCATGCTACTCGGATCAAAGCGCAAGCTAGTGATACTTTCAGCTACTGGACTTTCTCCATCTAGGGTGCAACATTCAAGCTATTTCCCCTAGCAGCACGACTCTTGTATTTCTCTCTAACAACCCCATTTTCACAGTTTAGGCTGCTCCCATTTCGCTTGCCGCTACTATGGGAATCGCTTTTGCTTTCTTTTCCTCTGGCTACCAAGATGTTGCGGCTCATGGTATCTGCCTTAGTTCTTTGCACACCCCTTACGAAAGACATTTAATAAACTTAATCATAAGAGCCCTCTATCTCTCCTTAAATGTCTCAATTAATACTCCACCAATTGGAACAGTAAGGGTAAATTTTGTAAAAGTTTAACAAATGATTTTTAGTTTTTTTCTACAAGGTCAAACATTTTTACACAATTCACTATCTGAGAGAAATCAAACCAATACTAAAAATGAAATAATCCTTCATCAGAAAATCTCTTCTTAATTAATTCTATTTGGTAGCAAGTCATCAAGATTCAAAGCCTTGTATCATCCAAACTTATCAAAATGATACAGATATCAACTATGTTGCTTGGACTCTCTGAAAATATCGTCCGGCGCGTGTCAGATCCTCCAAAACTAGTACATTTTTGGAGGATCGGCAGGGATACGGCAACATTTTAGAGAGTCTGCGCAACATAACATAAGATATCACTATATCAAAAGGATTAGTATTTTATTCTCAAACTCAACTGGGGAAATAACCTCTTGCAGAAATACAAGGTCTATGTACAATAAACCCTGATCAGGACCTTCTTGGGAGCTCGCGCGTAGCGGGAGTTTAGTGCGCCGGACTGCCCTTTAAACTCTACTGGGGAGCATGTCAACATCAAGATTTAAAGCCAAATAAACTGTAATCTTCTAAAATACAGATAAAATCATTAAGTATAGAGAAGTTGACAGAAATCTTACCACATCCCCACGAGAAATCCCCAACTGAACCAAAGCAGAAGCAAGCTTTACACATCTAACATGAGTTTCTTCCCAAGTGTACTTCAATTTAGAACCATAAATAACTGAAGTTCTATCTCTAAATACATTAGCTGCTCTTTCCAAAAAACTTAAAGGTGTCAAAGGAACATGATTTGCTGCACATTTAATTAGACCCTCTATTGAAAACTGACAAAAGGTACGGTGAATTTGAGTATTTTTGGGGTAAATTTGACTGAAACCATTATAGAAATTACGAGCCAATCTTGAGTTCTTGAAAAAATGATTCATGGAGAGAAGATGGTTTAGTTTAGAGGGAAGATTGAAAAAGTTGGAGACTGAGGACTATTTTTCTGTTCCTATGGATAACTTGAATTTATATAGCCATATATATAGAAATGTATACTCCTCAACTCGTTTTTACTTATCTATTATATAAAAAAATATATTTTTAATTTTACTTGTCAACTTTAGTAAATCAGATAATATCTCTTATTATTAATTACTCATTTCACAATTTATTTTCAAGACTTCTCAAAATATTATTATTATTATGGATAGTAAAATATATACTTTATTTATTATTTTTCAAAGGACGGGTAGAAAATTCTTTATGGACAGTAAAAATGAACGGAAGGATACATAGTAATAAAGTATTGTTTTTGCACTATCAGATCACTCAAGATATATTTATTAATAATCTTCCACAAAAGGTGGAAGAGATTTATTATTTTAGCAAATAAGAGAGATTATCAAAATTTAAAATATGTAGAGGTAATCTGAATTTTTACACTGTGGAATATGTAATTGTTTTGGATAAGGATTAAGATGAGAGTCTAACGTAAGCATGATTGTTTTTTTAAAACGTTGTTGAGTACGATGTTTGGTACGTAATAGAGACTATTGAGCACATGTATTTAGGTAGACTTTTGAATTGACACAAATGAATTCAATTATATAACACAGAATATGAGGGAAATTTTGAATTTTATTATGAGTGTCAATTTGGACCTGTATTTTTCTTTAGAATAAATAAATTCATTATATATATATATATATATATATATATATATATATATATATATATATATATACCTTGTAAAATATTTCTTTATGTATGCCTTAGTAGTTTTACCTCGAGCTTGTAAAATAAATAAATCATTATGCTTGTGTGTGCAAGATCTTAATTCCCAAGTCCAGTAAACTTTTTGGGTTTCCCGAAAGGGAAATCTCTCTCCTGTAAACATGTAAGTTACTTATTTTATCTAAAGAGATTTTTACATTCCTATACCATATAGGAAACCTTATTACCCTCAATGTTTAAGGTTTGATATAATTACATTTAGTATACCAAATTACCAATTCTATACCATAGTGTATTTTAAGGGTACAATTAATGCAGCGTATATCCCTCCTTAATTCAAGGTACCGTATATCCCACCCCTCCCACGTTTCTCTCTCCCAAACCATCACCCTCACCCTCACCCACGTTTTACCGTATTTCTTCCTCTTTTTCTTCTTTACCCTTTAAGGTCCCGGGAACTGCATTTTATCGTGGCATTCAGGTAACAAATTTTCAACAGTATATGCAGATTAGGATTGATGGACAAACTAATGAGATGACTGTTGGTAAACTACAGGCTCGTGATCGAATGTATGCTATGTTAGACTCGATATTTGACCAACGGAGAAGTGGGAAAAGCTTGAAACAAGTTTTCTTGCAATCCCTGGTAAAGAAGCATGCAACAGAAGGAAATGACGATGACAAACTCACTGATAAACAACTGAAGGATAACATATTAACACTGACACTCTTCTTTTGCGTTGGAGATTTTTGCACATTATATGTACAAGTTGTCACAAGCTTTAACTTAGCTCCATGTGTTATTTCAATATTTATTCTTCTTAAATCATAAAGATTCGCCCAATCTCATAAATGGAATTTTCGACATAATTGCATTTTTTGCAGAAGATTTTGTAGAAGTTTTAGTCGTTTTTGATTTGTGAAAACAGAAAAGAAAGCATCTACAATCAGAATACGAATAATCTACAATTCATCTACAAAATATCTACAAACTGGGTATATTGAATTTTAATATCCCAATTCCCATTCGATTGTAGTTTAATTGGGAATTTCGACACAATTGCGTTTTTTGCAGAAGATTTGTAGAAGTTTTAGTCGTTTTTGATTTGTAAAAACAGAAAATAAAGCATCTACAATTAGAATACAAATAATCTACAATTTATCTAAAAAATATCTACAAACTGGGAACATTAAATTTTTATATCCCAATTCTCATTCAATTGTAGCATAATGGGGATTTTTGACATAATTGCCTTTTTTCAAAAGATTTGTAGAATTTTAGACGTTTTTTATTTGTGAAAACAGAAAATAAAGCATCTACAACCAGAATACAAATAATCTACAATTTATCTACAATTTCTGCAATATGTCTTCTTCTTCTTCTTCTTCTTCAAGTTTCAATCTGAAGTTCAGTCAAAACCAAGTCTAATCTTCACCAAAACCCCACAAAATTGAGATATAAACTCCAAACCATATTCCTGATTATTTTCAACAACACCCAATCCAAACAAATAATGATTTTTGAAAACCCAAATTTGAATTCAAAGCTTTCAAGCTTTTTAATGGCTGTCAATTGTGCAATTGCTGCTCTCTTTTTATTTGCTTTGTATTACTGAAATTTGCGATTGAGAAATAGAGAGAATGTCGACGAACTGAACTTTTGCAGAACTGATTTCTACAATTTGATTCGAATTTGTTGACGATTTTGTCTTTTTTTGATTTGTGGTTTAAGGAAAATATCGAAGAACAGAGTTTTTGCATAAAAGAGTCTATGTAATTTGATTTTAAATTGAAGATATAGGATTTGCGTTTCAAATTTGATCTGAAGGTCGCTAAATCAATTAGAATATTCTGTTCCTGATTTGTAGCGCGCCTAATTAGGAAGGAATCAGCTCCTATAATTAGTATTTAATGAATGGTATAATAATTGTAGAAAAACTGTGAACATGGCAGGTAAATATGAAACTATGCACATTTTTGGTAATAAGGTTTCATATATGGTATAGGAAGGAAAAAGTCTCTTTAAATTATGTTTCTGGATATTACCCCTGTTTTTACAGTTTTATGTTATTATGTATGGTTTTATGTTTATTTTTCCTCAATTATTAGTTTGTAAATAACTAGACATCACTCTTAGTATATGGTTATCTTTCCAATTTCTTAATAATTTTGATGGATTAACCTATAAATTCCTAGGAGAAACCGGTTAAGTCAAACCCTAAATTAACCAAAAATGGGTATATACGTTTAACCGTGGCCAGGGTGAGGCTAAAGAAAAAAGAGTTAAGAAAAGATTGTTTCTTTAAAAAGTTGGAAAGAAGAGATGAACAGAGTGGAGTAAAAATAAAAAATAAAAAATAAAAAAAAGTATAGAAGGGATAATTTCAGTTTCATAATTTTGATAATACTGTAACAATATAGGTCTACAGAATAAGAGAGAGAGAGTACCGAGTAGGATTATACAACATAAGATTTTACCGTACCAGTAAATTATTTTACCGTACCAGTAAATTTATCAACTTATCATATATATATATATATATATATATATATATTACATTTATCGGGTATTTTTACTTTAAATGATTATATCAATGACTAAAAAACCAATAATTTTGAATTAGACAAGTTGGCGGCAGGGGCGGATTCATAGGGTACAATGCGGGGCACGTGAACTCATGGCCTCTTTACAAAATTAAATATTTTATGTACGTATTTTCTAAAATTGGTATAATATTAACTGTTGGCACCCATACTCCAAGAAGGTTGAATGGTGCATTTGGTTGAAAGTTGAGCTATTTGCCAAGAGGAAGAGGGATCAATTTTCACTTAATACATTTTTTTCTCTTTTTCTAGTAGTGCACCCATGTACTATAAATCCTAGATACGGCTCTGGTTGGCGATTACCCAATTCCCATCTAATAACTCCTATTTTTCCCCTCTCATCTTACGTGTAACAGAAAAACAAAAACAAAAAAAGTAAAAGAAATTGGTCAGGGTAGACAATGACCAATGCCATGCCATATCTTGATTTAACTTAATTCTACTCATGCAGATTTTTGACCAGTTTTTATCACTCAGTTCATACTTAATGCATTTAAGTTGGGTAGACAATGCTCCTCCCATGAGTTCTACATGGTGAAAATTCAAACTAGTAGATAATATCTTTTAATTATAACAAGATTAAATTACATAAAACCATGTAACTCCATCACTTCATAAAGAAAACAAACCAGACACAAGGAAATAAAATTTAAAGGAGCTGAATAATCAATTTTTGTAAAAGCTTCGCTACACGTTGAACATATTATGCTCGCTTTAAGTTAATATAGTTGGCGATAAATGTCACAAGACAAATGTGGACAATGTCTCATAGTAACAATAGTAAATGCTTAAATACAAAGGAACAATAATGAATATTGTATCTGATGCAAATTAGCTTTGTCTTGCTTATATTATGGGAAGAGGAGCCTTGGAGAAACGGTCAAGTTATTACCCTATGACCTATAGGTCAGTTGCTCGAGCCGTGGAATCAGCATGCTTGCATCAGGGTAGGCTGCCTACATTACACCCCTTAGGATGCGGCCCTTCCCTAGACCCTGCGTAAACACGGGATGCTTTGTGCACCGGGCTGCCCTTGCTTACACTATGGCACCACGAAAGGAAAATATGATTTTAAAGTTGCCATTGCTCTTCCAACTGAAAATCGCGAGAATGAAATATTACTCAGGCACAACTGATTCACAAAAATAATATCCATATAATACAATGACTTGGTAATAGAAATGCAAATAGCAAATTAATACAACAATTTAAAAGGTTCAAAATTATTACTTTCAAATAGACATTGCACCAGATTACCAGATATGAAAAGACATGTATAAGATCAATATATTTGTCAATATAAGCCCGTCTCTATCAACTCCTTTTTTCCATATCGACTCAAAGAATGAAAAATTTGTTCAATGAAGTGTTTCCCATCTCAAAATGAATTCCATGTCTGGCAGACAATTTTCTGCCACATTCAGGCGCAGTTCACAGACTTGCACATATACTAACCATTGTGCATGGTACTTGGTCTTTCATGATCTTGCCACCATGATATAACGGTCATATTAACTTGAGAAAAACAAATAGAAATGAACTTGGAATTTAGTAAAGAGAAGAGAAGAGTTGGATGATCAGTTGGTTACATTTAACTAAGCATCAAACCATGGAAAAACATTTAACTACTTTTAACAAGAAAAGTGCTTTTCAGCATTTTTTTACCAAACACATCAACCGCTTATTTTCAGTTTTCCCACTTCTATCTATCCAAACATGTAACTGCTTATTCATGAATTCAGCTACACAACTTTAGAAGTGCTTAAATTCAGCTCACACAAACGAGTTCTATATCTGCAACTGGTTCTGCATAAATTACCAAAGGATGAGTATAACACACTGTAATTCCTAGTATGTCTCCTAAATCTTTCTTCCCTTGGTGGGACTTCAATCAACTTGTATTTTGATAACAAATAGTTGAATGGAGCTAAGAATTTAACGAGGACAACAAAGATCATAGCATAAATAACAATGGCAATGATCTTGAAGAACAACACCAAAACAATATTTGGAAAAACTATCCCTAATTGTTTGATAAATGGTTTAGATATACATCTATCAGTCCAAAAATACACACCGTATCCATCTATCAGTCCAAAAATACACATTATGTTATTTTATTAATCAAAATACCCCTATGCATTGGCTTCTTTTTACTTGGCTACGTGGCACTTTGTCCCAGAGACCAAATCTGGGTTTAATTTCGAACCATTAACCGGATCCGCTCGTCTCCTCCATCAATTTCTCTCTTTCTTCCATCAATTCCTCTCTTTCATCCATTTTCAAATCACATGCTTAAAATAACAAGATAGTGTTTAAAATGGTGTTTGAAATTGAGGAATTTTCATGTGTGTGTTTGCTGGTGGTCTTTGTTGGAGTTTCCTTTGTTATTTTAGGTGGCGGAAGATGAGATGAGGAGTAGAGAAGGTGAAAGAAAATGAAAGAGAAAGCAGAGAAGCAAGGTCATCACCAGGGTATTTCTCAGGTCCCGTCAAACCCCACTCCCCGCTCCTGGTTTGGAGATTGTCTCCTTTTTTAAGAGTTATTTTAGGAAGTGAAGAAGATGGGAGAAAAAAGTGGGTTGGCCAGATCCAGTGATGGAAAAAATCGCTGGATAACTTTTCCGGCGAACAACCACCAAGATATTTCTGGCAGGATACAGTGATAAAAAAAAATTGTGCTTCTTTTGTTACATTGTTTAAATCTGGTACCTCTAAAGAAAGATGAAAACAGAATGAGTATAAGAAGGTAAAATGGGTAGCGCAACTCGCCATTTCCGGTCAACTTTCAAATCAGACTTTTTGTCTGCAAATAGAATAAAAAGAAGAGTCTGAAGAAGAAAACAAAACTATTGATCGCCACAACTATTTTCTGGCCAAACTTGCAGGCGGCGACTTTCATTAGTTTTTTTTCCAGATCCGGTGACCTCTATATGAATTCTCAAAGAAAGAACAAAAAAAATAGAAAAAAAACAGAGAGGAGAGGTGGTGAGGCAGTGGAGCTCCGGTGGCCAGGTGGCGGATTTTCACCGGCGACGGTAAGAAAAGAGGAGATAGTAACATGACTTAGGCTAGAAGTATTTTTGACCCGGGTAACAAAAATAGGGTCGGATCTGGTTAATGGGTCGCAACTAAATCCAGAGTTAATATCTGGGCCAGTAAAAAATAACTACGTCAATAAATGAAAAGCCCACCAATCCTGCCGTTAAACATGGGGGTATTTTTGGTAATAGAATTAACGCCGTGTGCTTTTTCGGACGGTAGATGGACGGAGAGTATTTGTAAACCATTTAGCAAACAATAGAGGTAGTTCAGGGGAAAAGAAAGCATGTGCCAGAAACACATTTTGTCAAACTATAATAATAAAAAGGAAACATAAAGAAGTAGGTAAAATGAAACTCACCACACTTCCCTTTGTAGAGAGGTTAAATCTCGAGTAGGTAGTGTCCAAATTGGAGAACAACACATAGTGTGCTACACTTTTGTTAGACCCTATTAGTTTTGGGTCTGATCATCCTTTTCTGGACTTCCGCTTATCATACCAAGAGCTAATTGTATTGCACGCCATGCTTTATGGTAACTAATGCTCAGTCCATATCTCTTTCTCATTTCTACTACCACAAACCTTGGTTTGATTTCTACTTTATTGTCATGTAATAGCTCATTGATGTAATCGGATATGACCTTTGATGTTGCGTGTCGCTGGTCAGTTGCATCAATAGAGCAGCTATGGTTTTTCTCAAACTTAGTAATCTTGAATAATGCAGAATCATGGACCTGTGTGGAATGCAAATACCAACTGCATTCGTCATCATAACACTTCAGACAATACCTTGTTTTGCTCGATCTATAGACCTTAAAATTGAACTGGTACTTAATAGCATTATTTGAAAAACATTTTTTCAAACTCTCTTTGTCCTCAAACATAGATCCAACAACTATTTCATCCAATGAAGCATCTTCGCTCAAAACCATAGTTTGCAAATCGCCTCTTTTACTGGCAGACCTTTTTCTTACATTCCTACAATTTGATGTATGTCCAGTTTCCTCGGTTAATTTTCTTCTTGTCAGAGGTTCAGGCGCTATTGCTGGTTCAACCACTATCAATGCTTTATCTCCAATATGCATATCCCATACTCCTTCCTCCGGTGGAATACAAATATTTACTTCTTCATGTACAATGTTATTGCACAATTCCGTTTCTGAACTATTTGCTGACAAAGAATTCCTTTTTGCGATATCAACAATGAAACGGGCAGTCTTGAAATTGGAATCATTTCTCACCAAGAAGATGCAAGTAGTAACTTCATTGTCGTTTGTTACTAACATCCCTTTGCTTGTTTCTAGATTCGTATCAAACCAAATATTTACTTCAATCTCACCCCTTTTAAGTTTTAGAACCTGAAAAATCTTTTCAACAAGAACTTCAAAGGTTATTTCATCATTTACAAGAATTAGTTTGGTCTCATGATCCAAATACTTGTTATTAGTAGTCCATCTGCCATTGTAAGCAATATAGATGCAAGTTTCATCCATCCTGCATCAATTGAAATAAAAGACATTAGACATACATCTAGAAAATGTAAAATATTCCTTAACAAATTTGGCCAGGTGGGCTAAACTTTCAAACAGCATTATTAAAGCAGATTGTCACGACCCGACAAGGGCCATGCTAATTTTCTCTGTATCGTTCCGATTTTATCAGATGAGCAAGCCTAACTTATTTTCCATATCAAAAATTCGGCAGAATCTCCTCTGTACCGGGAGCAAACCAAAACTTTAACCTATCAGCCTTAAACCAACACGTGCTCAATGCAACATAACACTAGTAATTCTAACATGCTAAGTTTAGAAAATATCGACAATCTCAAGCCACAAGCTCCCACAACAAATGTATAAGTTTCAAGCTACGATATCACTAACACAAGCCATAATACAATCCCAAGACTGACTTAGCGCCGGTCATGGCCCTCGTCGGGTCGTGACACAGATAATCAAATTATTATTATCTTTAGCCCAATGGTCCAAGCTCTGCTTTTAGCTTTTAACACTTCCTAAGCGAACTTGTTACAATGCTTTAGTCTTATACAAACTATTATTCTAGATTAGGAAAAAGTTGATCATAGTATGACAGAACGGAAGCAAGTAGAAAAGAAGGACAAGTTTAGCCTAGTGGACTAAATCTTCCAAAGAAAATTATGAACACATATATCAAAATCAGTAGTAACTTTAGGTAGGAGCTTACGTTATTATTAATGAGAAAAAAACAGAAGTCAGGCATAGATTTTTCGTGAGAGTATTGAAGTCAGCTTCGAAAGTACTTTTATATTTGTCCCCTATCTTTATTCTCCTCGACAATTTTCTTCACTATTTCAATTATCTAAATATTTATTTGGTTGATAATTTGTATAATTCACTTTCTAATAACTGATTATTATTACTGAGAAAAAAGGTTAAAAATTACACAAGAAAATATAACGGAGTCCCTTTTTTTAGATGGTAACAGATCTAATATATTAATAAATCATCAGCGCAAATTTTGTACTGGAACCAAGATTACATCAAGAAGCGCTAGGACAAAAACAAAAATTAAACTTCCTTGTTCTTCTTACAAGGAGTGTAAGACTTATTGGATACTGTTCATCTATATATTTTGCTTTACACCAAAAACTAAAAAGAAGAATGCAATTCATTTTGATCTTCTGTACATGGCTACTTATATCTTCAAAACACCTTGATTCGTCTCCTTCCAAATTGTCCACCAAATGGCTGTTGGGACAATTTTCCATCTATCTTTGTTAGATGTAGAGCTCCCCACCCCCCACTCCCACCCGTGTTCCAGCTAGACAAAAGTTCATAGGTTCTTCCTGGCATTGTCCATCAGATATCCCTGATGTTAATGAACAACTCCCAGTGCTGTCTTGTCACTCTACAATGCAGAAACAGATGGCTAATTGTCTATGCATCTTGGCCACACAAATAACATCTAGAACAGATTGATAACCCTCTTTTCATGAGGTTTTCTCGAGTGCGTACTGTTTCTTTAGCCACCAACCAAGTAAAGCATGCCACTTTATATGGTATTTTGACTTTCTATATATGCTTCCAAGGCCATTGGCTGAGTTGATGTCCTACCAGGTTCAGATTTTTATAAGTTGATCCTACTGTAAACCTCCCGCTGCTATGTTTCTACCATACTAGAGGGTCTTCCCCCTCTTGTAATCCTCTACATTGTTCCAAAGTATTGTAAAATTCTGTTATTGTAGTTAGTTCCCAGTCTTGTAACAATCTAGTCTTGTAACAATCTAGTCTTGTAACAATCTTCTGAATGTCAAGTTCCATCCTCCAGTACCCCATAACTCCTTAACTGTTGCCCCTTGTTGCTAATTCAGAGTAAAAATATCAAGGAACAAATTCTTCAAACTTCCAATTCCTAGCCAGTTTTTTTTTTTTTGATGAAGTAAGGTGTTTCATTAAAGGCATCAAGAAGATGCAATAAGATACAATGAGAAAGTCCTTGGTTAACTCTATAAGACAAAAAAACCTATATAGCTATGAGTTAACCAAGACCAAAACCAAAAAGAGTGACTATTAAGCCATATTAAGAGAGCCAATAAAATCTAAGAGGGGAATAAGATCATTTACAGGGGAAAGGTTACTCCAACTAAACAGGTTCATTATACACTTAGATTTCAGAAGGCTGGTGGAAGTTGATATGCCTTCAAAACACCTGTTGTTCCTTTCTGTCCATATACACCAACAAATACATGCTGGAATCATTTGCCAGGTTTTTTTGATGGCTTTACCAACTCTCCAGGAGCACCAGCCTTCAATGGCTTCCTTGATATCCTGAGGAATGACCCAACTGAGGCAAAAAACTGCTAAGAACATATTCCATATATCTGCTGCCACTGGACAGTGCAAGAAGAGGTGGTTCACTGATTCTGCATTGCTGTAGCATCTGTTGACTAGTTGGAAGTTTCTTCTGCATAAGTTGTCCTGAGTCAAGGCAGCATTTCTGAGAGCAATCCAAGAAAAGCTCATCACTTTTGTAGGTAGTTTTGATCTCCATATATGCTTCCATGGCCAGTTATCTATCATTCCATTAGCTTCACATAGTTTGTTGTACCCAGCCTTCACTGTGTAAATACCCTTTGAAGAGTTCCCCCACTTTAATCTGTCTTGAGTTTGGAGGTCTATGGAGAAACCTTCAATAATTCTGTAGAGGTCAATGAGTTTATCTAGTTCCCAATCCTGCATGTTCCTTCTGAAAAGAGGTTCCCATATGTTCCCTGCTCTGTACTGGGCTATTGATGAGTCAAAATCAATAGCTATCTGATATATGCCAGGGTGAGAATCTTTTAGAGGCTAGTTTTGAAGCCACCTATCCTTCCAGAATTTGACAGAGTTACCGTTTCCTACTTTGAAGGATACCTCTTGAAAGAATTCCTCTTTCATATTGTTGATATGTTTCCAAGGCCCTACTCCATATGGTGCTCTGTTTTTCTTTGTACTCCAATTGTCTAGCTTCCCATACTTTGCTGTTACCACCTTTTTCCATATGCTGGTGGTTTCTTGTGCATACCTCCACCACCATTTCAATAGTAGGCTCTTGTTGTGCTTTTGTAGGTCTCTGATACCTAGACCACCCTGGTTCTTTGGCATGATGACTTTGGACCACTTAACCAGGTGGAATTTATAGCCTTCACTGTTGCCCTCCCAAAGAAAAGTTCTTCTAATTTTGTCCAGTTGTTTTTGGACTTTGCTTGGCATAGGAAAAAGAGACATAATGTAAGTAGGGATACTATCCAGAACACTATTGATCAGTGTCAATCTCCCCCCATCGACAAGTATTGCATTTTCCATGTTGCCTATCTTTTCTCTACCTTTTCAATGACTCCATTCCAGACTTCAGTTGCTTTGTATTTAGCACCTAGAGGGAGGCCTAGATATGTAGTAGGGAAATGGCCAATGCTACAACCCATGATTCCAGCTAGTTCCTCCAGATTTGGAACCTCATTCACAGAATAGATCACACTTTTTGCCATATTGATATGAAGCCCAGAGATGGCTTCAAAGAGGAGGAGTGTCAAGTTGAGGTATTGAACTTGAAGCTTCTCTGCCCCACAAAAAATTAAGGTGTCATCTGCATATAGCAAATGAGAAACTGAGACTGGGATGTCAGTATTGCTGCCCACCTCAAACCCTTCTAACCACTGCATTTGCTTAGCTTTATCAAGCATTTTGCTCAAACCCTCCATGGCTAAGATGAATAAGAAGGGAGACAGGGGGTCTCCTTGTCTTATCCCTTTTTGTGGGGAGAAGAAACCTACTGGTGTTCTGTTGATTAGGATGGAGTATTTAACAGTGGTCAGGCTAAACTTGATCCATCTAATCCATCTGTCCCCAAACCCCATATCTTTCAGCATGGAAAGCAGGTATGCCCAGTTGACTTTATCAAATGCCTTCTCTACATCTAGCTTGCATAGAATGCCTGGGACCCCACTCTTTAATCTCCCATCCAATAACTCATTTGCTACAAGAGAAGCATCAGTGATCTGCCTGCCTTTCAGGAATGCATTTTGCTCTTCTGATACCAACTTCCAAATGACTGTCTTCAACCTTTCTGCTAGGAGTTTGGCTATGATTTTGTATACACTTCCAATGAGACTTATGGGACTGAAGTCTCTAAGCTCAATTGCACCTTTCTTTTTGGGGACTAATGTGATAAAAGAGGCATTGCATGACCTGACCATGTAGCAATGCTGATGGAAGTGGTTAATAGCACCCATAATGTCTGCTTTGATTATGTCCCATGCTCTTTGGTAGAAAGCCATTGTGAATCCATCAGGGCCTGGGCTTTTGTCTGGTGCACAAGAATTGATTGCTGCCTTCACTTCCTCTTCTTCAAAAGCTCTTTCTAGCCATATCTTCTCAGCTGCTGTTAGGGTAGCTAGATTTTCAAACTTAGCACTAGGCCTCCAAGGTTCATTTTCAGTGTACAAGTCTTGGTAGAAAGACAGGATTTCAGCCTTAATTTCCTCAGTGTCCTCACTAATTTCCTCCCCAATCATCAATTTGTCTATGCAGTTTTTCCTTCTGTGGGAATTGGCCATTTTTTGGAAAAAATTTGGTGTTTCTATCTCCTTCTTTGAGTCATAGACACCTAGACTTTTGTCTCCAAGAGACCTCTTCTGCCTTTGCCAAATGTTGCAGCTCCAGCTTAATGCTCATTGAAACTTCTTTCTCAGCTTGTGTCATAAGTCTGTTTTCAGTTGCTACTTCCATTAGAGCAAGATCTTCCAAAAGTTTGGTCCTCCTTGCTTCCAGCTGGCCAAAAGACTCCTTGTTCCAGTTTGTGATGTCTTTTTTCAGACACCTTAGTTTCTGCATCAGAATGAAGTCATGACTGCCATCAATTGCATAGCTGAGCCACCATTCCTTAACCTTGTCCATGAATCCTTCAGCCTGAAGCCACATATTTTCAAACTTATATGAAGGGTTGGCTGCCCAGTCACCACATTGAAGCAGCAAAGGTCTGTGATGAGAGACAACTCTAGGGAGGGCTATTTGCTTGATTGCTTTGAAATTGTCATTCCATTCTGGGGAAATAAGAAACCTGTCAATTCTGGATGCCTACGGTGAGTCTTCACCCCTAAACCAGGTGTAGTGAGCTCCCAGGAGAGGCAAGTCTATGATGCCCAGATCCTGTATGATATCAGTGAAGGATTTCATGGCCCTGGATCTCCTAATGCAGTTATATCTTTCACTCTCGTATCTACAGACATTGAAATCACCACCTATGACCCATTGATCTTCCCATATTCCTCTGATGGCTGCAAGTTCATGCCAAAGAATCTCTCTTTCTGAGTTGTTATAAGGTCCATAAACCCCTATAAAGCACCATCTGAAGTTCTCTATTGCACTTTCAAACATGCATGAAATTGTGTAATGGCCTTGGTGTACTCCTCTGTTGAGCCATTTTCTTTTGTCCCAAAGAACAATGATACCACCACTTCTCCCAATTGAATTTAGTACTGCCCAATCAACCCATCTGTTGCCCCATACTTGCCTGATCCAGTGAGGGGGCCATTCTTCTATTTTTGTTTCTTGAAGGCAGACTATGTCTGCTTTCCATTTATTAATCAGAGATTTTATAGTGCTTCTTTTTTCTGCCTCATTTAGACCCCGTACATTTCAGCTTAAAATCTTGATCTTCATCCAGAAAAGGCCTTGTAATGCCTGTCCCTTTCCCCTGCCTTCTTACCATTATAATTCATTCCCCATCTGAGCCTTTCCAGTTCTAAAGACTGCTTCTTCTTCCCTTTTGTGATTGCCTTGATTGTAGTTTTCTGCTTCTGAACTTGTTCTTGTCTTTTTTGCTCCATTCGAAGAACCATGGCAAAAATTTCATGTTCGAACCCCACCACATTAACCCCAAAAACCTTGCACGCCTTGAGCATAACTGACTTGGTCCATCTTGATGTTCCAATAACTGCTGGTACATCCATGTCCTGTGAATTTGGATGTCCCATACCATACCAAGGAAGAGAGAGTGTATCACAAGAGGAATTATCTGCTTCGGAGCTGCTTACAGTTCCCACAAAATTTGGAATTCTTGGTACTAACTGGTTCATTGGTTCTGCCTCGTCATCTGCGTCTGAAGGAGACTCGCATGCAAAGGATAAAGACTGCTACTCTGAGATTTGGTCTTCTTCTGTTGCTTCAATTTCGATGGAGAGAGGGTCAAATCTATTTGACTGTGGGATTGGGCTGTTGCGCTTGGAGCATGGATCAATAAGAGGCCCAATAGCCCTCCATCTTTGGTAGAAATGGCATGGTGTAGCCACTATTTAAGGTGGTATTTATTTTTTATCCAGCAATTCTAATGTTGAGCAAAAATAGCCACTGCCCTATTAAAATTAATATGAAAAGACATTTTTACCCTTTCTTCCCAAACCCTTGCTTCTCTCTCCGTGCCTTCTCCATAACTGTTGCATTATGTTGAGGTGGCGGAGCCTATCTACACAGTCATTCTAATGCACATCGCTTGTAAGCATTCATTAAAAGACAAAAGCTCTTTAACAGAACTTTTCAATATTCATGGTTCAAAAGTTAGTAACAGAACTTTGTAAGTAGGTTGTAGACCTTCTGCTCTCCTTACATGGTTCAGTTGGAAAGCACAAAATAAAAGAAACAAAAATAATGATTTCAATTCATCGCCAAAGAATAATGTCGCAGACTCTCCCAAATTTAAATCTTTTAACTTTGATTTTCAAGTTCAAAAGTTAAGGACAGACATCAGTTACAAGTTCAAAACTTAAGGACAATAGGTCCTTAACTTTGATTTCCAAGTTCTAAGGCAGTCCTTAACTTTGAGTTCCAGTTTCAAAAGTTAAGGACAGGCAGTCCTTAACTTATAGTTTCAAGTTCAAAACTTAAGGACATGCAGTCCTTAAGTTATTGTTTCAAGTTCAAAACTTAAGGACATGCCGTCCTTAAGTTATTGTTTCAAGTTCAAAACTTAAGGACATGCAGTCCTTAACTTTGAGTTTAAAGTTCAAAAGTTAAGGACAGACAGTCCTTAATTTACAGTTACACGTTCAAAAGTTAAGGACAAGCAGTACTTAACTTACGGTTACAAGTTCAAAAGTTAAGGACAATAAGTCCTTAACTTTGACTTACAAGTTCAAAAGTTAAGGACGCTTGGTCTTGAAGTTTGAGTTCCAAGTTCAAAACTTAAGGACATGCAGTCCTTAACTTTGAGTTTCAGTTTCAAAAGTTAAGGACAGGCAGTCCTTAACTTATAGTTTCAAGTTCAAAACTTAAGGACATGCAGTCCTTAAGTTATTGTTTCAAGTTCAAAACTTAAGGACATGCAGTCCTTAACTTTGAGTTTAAAATTCAAAAGTTAAGGACAGATAAGTCCTTAACTTTGACTTACAAGTTCAAAAGTTAAGGACGCTTGGTCTTGAAGTTTGAGTTCCAAGTTCAAAACTTAAGGACTTTCTGGTCTTAACTTTGAGTTTCAGTTTCAAAAGTTAAGGACAGGCAGTCCTTAACTTATAGTTTCAAGTTCAAAACTTAAGGACATGCAGTCCTTTAAGTTATTGTTTCAAGTTCAAAACTTAAGGACATGCAGTCCTTAACTTTGAGTTTAAAGTTCAAAAGTTAAGGACAGACAGTCCTTAACTTACAGTTACACGTTCAAAAGTTAAGGACAAGCAGTACTTAACTTACGGTTACAAGTTCAAAAGTTAAGGACAATAGGTCCTTAACTTTGACTTACAAGTTCAAAAGTTAAGGACGCTTGGTCTTGAAGTTTGAGTTCCAAGTTCAAAACTTAAGGACATGTAACCTTGAAGTCCTGAACTTAGAGTTCCAAGTTCAAAAGTTAAGGACATGTAGTCCTGAAGTCCTGAACTTAGAGTTTCAAGTTCAAAAGTTAAGGACATGTAGTCCTGAAGTTAAGGACATGAGAAGAAGGGTATTTTTGTCCGAGCAGTTAAAGTTTATTAAACCAGTGGCTAAAGACTAAAGACATTTAAAACGCTGGCTTTAAAATAAAGACATAAGCTGTTAGTGGCTATCTGTGCACATCGCCCCCATCTTTGCTTATAAGAGCTGCGTTTATAAATGTGTTTACCCTTTGGGCCTTTGTTGCCTTTTGAATAGTAGTCATGGGCCATATTGTGGCCCAAATTTTTAACCGCCTCTTTACCCTTTTTATTGATAGGGTTTGGTGGAATCCTACGTGGCTGCTCATATATTGCGTTTGAATTAAAGGTGCTCTGATGTCTGAGCACAGTGCTATTACCCAGTGGATCTTCCTCCGTCATCTTCGAGAAGCTCGAAGAAGCCTCCTTCCTCGTCTCCTTCTGTAGTCTCACCGCTTGGGGATCGTGCACCGGGCTGCCCTTTTATACAAAGTGTCATAGTAATGAGATATCTCCAAAGCAGCAGGTAAAATTTTCTTAATGGGCATTTTATCAAACATTTCATATGCATTAGTTAGTTCCCACCTTTCGCATTTAACTCTCGAATTGTTGAGAGGCAGACCCATTATTCCGAGTTTCGAAGCTCAACGAATTTGCATGTCATCAAAAAGATATAAACATATAAGTATATAAACCAAAACCCTTATTTCCTCGTCTTCAGAGAAAAAGAAATCAGTGCACACAAAAAAAAAAAATCAAACACAAACGAAGGGGGAAATTCCCAAAATAAACATGAATGCTTACCGGGTAAGAAAGTAATTAAGAGGAAGAATAATGACTGAATAAATGAAAGAGCTTGAGCAGGAACCAAATCAAAGGTTAACGAGAGGAGCAGTGGCTGTTTAGCAGAAGAAAAATTGGGGAAACTTTCTTTCAAAATATCAGCGGTGTTAAACCCTTGTATACTACTTTGATTACGCACGGAGTTAGGGTATTATTCTTTTGTTGTCTTAAAACCTTAAGAAAAGTTTGTCGTTAAAATTAAAATGGGTTATATTAAGAATTTAAAGTTGAATTATTTTTAATTGTAAAAATATATCCTTTTTTTTAAATGGATCAAAAAAAGAAAGTGTGTCTTTTAAATTGAAACGGATGGAGTAATAAAACTTAAGGTATAATTGCTTCAAATTTTTATTTTTTTTTGGTTAAATACGATAAATTTGAATGCGACATGTATATCGTAGTCAGGGAATTGCGACCTATAAATCGCTTTAGTGAATGCGACCTATAAATCGCATTTAAGTGTTATTTTTTCTTGCTTTTATTTCCTTTTCTTTATTCCTATAACATCGTTATTTATAAAGAACGTTTTTCGACATTTTCTAATTAAAAAAGACTTCCTAAAAGTTTAAATATGACAAATATATTTAACAATTGAAAAGAAAACAAATATTGTCCTATTTTCTTTTTGAGCTCAAAAACAAATTTTTTATTAAACTGAATCAGCAACTAGATAAATTTTTTCCTACTCTACACTTCCTTTATACTTTGAAACAAATACATTAAAATGCCTCTTTTTTATTTGCCGGATTTTTACTTAGAATATTGGATTTCGATAATTTTTAGAAACCAAATTAAGAGTTAGCATATGATTGACTGATATCACATATTTTTTGGAAATATATTTTTTTCCAAGAACATGAAAAAATTTATGTTTGTTCAAGAAACATTATTTGTGTGTGTACTACATTTATTGTTTTACTAGCAAATTGATGGAGTTATTTATAAACTAGTACATCTACCCGCGCTTTGCACGGGGTTTAAGTGTGATGACTCAATACCCAAGCCCGGTCGTGATGGCGCCTCTCGTGAAGACAAGGCCAGCCACACCAATACGGGACACTTCTTTTAAGCAGTAAATCACCATTTAAGCAATCATGAAACATGATTTAATAACAATAATTTGCGAAAACATAGATAATAATAGTAGAACCATCCCGACACAGCCCAAACCAAGGTGTCACAAGTCACAAGCATCTATTAGAGTGAAGTTACAACTACAAGCCGGAAATATACTAAATAGGATTTATAAATAAAAGGAAGAAATGCGGTGTCGCGAACGCTGGCAGTCACCTCGCTCCACTTTGATAGCATAGTCTCTAATCAGCTCAAAATCCGCTACCGGGTGAACAAATACCTGCATCTGCATGCGAGGTGCAGGGAGTAAAGTGAGTACTCCAACTCAGTGACTAATAAAGGTAAATAACGTCTGAGCAGTAAGAAATCACGTAAAGCAACCAATATGATGTATAGAAGCAGGGTACAATCCTTTGAGAAAACAGTGAAACTGTGAAATTCTTTGGAAATCTCTTGGCTCAGTTTAAATCTCTTTTGAAAATGATCTTTCCAACAGTTACGAAATGATTTCAAAATAGTTAGTGCCGATAAGCACAGAAAATTTGCCCCTCGGGCACAAATACCACAGTATAACAGGAAAAAGGTAAGTAAATATGCAAGATGAGCACATAAAAGTTCACCCCTCGGGCAATATCTCAAAACAGTACCAGCCCCTCGGGCTCACTCTCAGAAACACTCTAAGCCCCTCGGGCTCTCTTTCTCTCTCAAATCACTCTCAGAACAGTATCACATAGTAACCGATGCGGCGTGAAGCCCGATCCATATATCGTTGCGGCGTGCAGCCCGATCCATATCTCGCTGCCCGATCCATATGGGTACCCGCGCTCACTGTGGGGGTGCAGACTCCGGAGGGGCCCCTTACGGCCCAAGCGCAATATCAAGCCACCTCGTGGCATATNACCATATTCCAGAATACTTTACTCTGAAGAACTTCCCGCGAACCTATATCCGTTACCTTTACCTCCCTGATACAGATACATAGAATCCCATAATTAACATAGAAATACCACAATTCTGAACCTCTTCCAATGAAAACACAGTTTCTAACCACACATGCAACTTTAAAATACCCGATGGTTCCCTGTAGAATCTTGAACACATTAGAACCATTCTCGAAAGTCATTCACTCTTATTCAAACTGCAAATTACCTGACCTAACGAACAGAACCACCTGTGCCTAATTGGCACTCCGATACCGCAAAATGAAATCCTCATCCCAGTACAACCAAGCAACTTCCTGCTCTATGCGCCGAGCATTCTTCACCCACAACATTCTAGACATTTCGTGATTCTCATACCTTATGAAGCATAATATAACCTTTGTCAAAATTTTCCTTTACTCTAGCCATAGCTAATTCACTCGCATGCCCCAAACTGGAGCCAACATAGCACCTAACCGTGCAATCAACTGCTCACAGCAGACTCACCCACTTGGCTCGAAGCCATAGATCAAGATATGCTCAATAACTCATAACACTTTTACTCTATTGATGCCACCATACCATAGCGAGATTAAACTCAAATCAATTATAAGTTTGTGAAAACACAGATCATCTAGTACTGTAAATCTTCTACAAACCTCGCATTTATCCCCGTAATAGTTAAGTCCACTCTCTTAAGCGACCCAAAATTTCAAATTTCAACACGTACCCTTCAATCACACATGAGACCTTCTAACATACACATAAGGATCACACCACTTCAGAACACTCCGCAGGTGATAACCCACCTGTTTCGCCTCACTATAATATTTCCGTATACCTTCTACCGTCATACACATTACACAGCCACTTAGTCTTCCTGAGTTTGAACTCATATCGCAACATGCAATTTACTTCACTCTCAACTAGGAGACACGAAAAGATTCTTCACGCGCCCATAACTCGGAGTTACACATCCAATCACAATGGAAATCATACACTTAATAGTTCATCTTTCATCCAGCAGACCTTCCTCGTCACTTCCCAGTCACATAGATACATCCCGCAGTACTAATACATTCTTCACATAGCTACCCAGCCATCACTTCCACTAATAGGGACACTACCGAACATATAAGTTCAAATCACTTATTCACACAATCAGCACCTCGGTGCTCAAGCCATAGGCAAAGATCCGGCCTCAAGTCCTTCAGACTGGCCCCAACATCAACTCACAAAAATCACATCTCGCCCATCGATCGGGGAATCACAAGACATCAAGGTACATCTGATACTGAGCGCTCATGTGCGCATACGAACGCGTGGAAGGAAATTTCAAGAGTTACATTTCAAGCTGAATCAAGGACGCACGATAAGAATTCCAAGAATATGAAGTTTTCCTAAAGGTTCTGCAGCCTCTCGAGGATAAATACAGACGTCTCCGTACCGATCCGCGAGACTCTACTGAACCTGCTCATGACTCGTGAGACCTAGTAACCTAGGCTCTGATACCAACTTGTCACGACTCAATTCCCAAGCCCGGTCGTGATGGCGCCTCTCGTGAAGACAAGGCCAGCCAGACCAATACGGGACACTTCTTTTAAGCAGTAAATCACCATTTAAGCAATTATGAAACATGATTTAATAACAATAATTTGCGGAAACATAGATATAATAGTAGAACCATCCCAACACAGCCCAAACCGGGGTGTCACAAGTCACGAGCATCTATTAGAGTGAAGTTACAACTACAAGCTGGAAATATACAAAATAGGATTTATAAATAAAAGGAAGAAATGCGGTGCCGCGAACGCTGGCAGTCACCTCGCTCCACTTTGATAGCATAGTCTCTAATCAGCTCAAAACCCGCTACCGGGTGAACAAATACCTGCATCTGCACGCGAGGTGCAGGGAGTAAAGTGAGTACTCCAACTCAGTGAGTAATAAAGGTAAATAACGTCTGAGCAGTAAGAAATCACGTAAAGCAACCAATATGCTGTATAGAAAACAATGAAACTGTGAAATTCTTTGGAAATCTCTTGGCTCAGTTTAAATCTCTTTTGAAAATGATCTTTCCAACAGTTACGAAATGATTTCAAAATAGTTAGTGCCGATAAGCACAGAAAATTTGCCCCTCGGGCACAAATACCACAGTATAACAGGAAAAAGGTAAGTAAATATGCAAGATGAGCACATAAAAGTTCGCCCCTCGGGCAATATCTCAAAACAGTACCAGCCCCTCGGGCTCACTCTCAGAAACACTCTAAGCCCCTCGGGCTCTCTTTCTCTCTCAAATCACTCTCAGAACAGTATCACATAGTAACCGATGCGGCGTGAAGCCCGATCCATATATCGTTGCGGCGTGCAGCCCGATCCATATCTCGCTGCCCGATCCATATGGGTACCCGCGCTCACTGTGGGGGTGCAGACTCCGGAGGGGCCCCTTACGGCCCAAGCGCAATATCAAGCCACCTCGTGGCATATAACATAAGTCCTGAAAGCCTTCTCACATCACACTCAAGGCCTGAAAGCCTCCTCACATAACACTCGAGGCCTGAAAGCCTCCTCACATCACTCACATATATCCTCACATATGGCCCTCGGCCTCACTCAGTCCAGAAAACATCATAAGCCCCTCGGGCATCAATAAAATAGTAGTGCTCAGCCCAAACAACAGTGGAAATATCATTTAAGTCTCAAAGTTCAATTAAAGCGGCTGAGTTTGTAAAACAGTATAATCAACAGGACTGAGTTCCAGTAGTATATCAAAATAGTGGGGAAACAGTGATAAAAATCCCCGAAGGGTTCAGATAATTGGCGCGAAGCCCAAATATGACAATCAGCCCAAATCATGATAATAACAAATAAGTTTCAGTCAAATACGCGGTAAAATCATCAATCGGGACGGACCAAGTCACAATCCCCAACAGTGCTCCACCACACGCTCGCTATCCGGCATGCAAGTCACATCAATATAGCACTATGATGTGCAAATCCGGGGTTTCAAACCCTCATGATATCATTTACAATCATTACTCACCTCGAACCGGTGAAATCTCTAGCTCGCGACGCCTTTGCCCCTCAAATCGGCCTCCACGCGCGTCGAATCTATCCAAAATCAGAGCGAATA